TGCTTCTCCTAATAGACACAAGGTCTTTGGTATAGTGAAGAATTCTAACTGTATTAAGTTCTTCTTATGGTGCTTTTTATTTCTTTTTCCGCTTTGTTTCACGGATTCAGTTTCCCGGATCAGTTGTTTGTTCCATCATCCGCTGGCTGGTCATTTTGGTTCTTGCGCGTGTTTGTGTGCAATCACATTTGTCTTATCTTCATGCCGTCTGACAAATCGGCGTAAATCGGCCGATAATCGACCCTAAGAGATTGCGCTTGATTATCCCAATTAGGCCGCATGTTGCCTCCTGTTTCTTGATGTCTTTTCGCATTGATGCAGCAACCGCATTTCGTGCCTTTTGTTGCCCTCCGTCTTCTTTTTTTCTCTCGAACTGTCACCGGACGACTGATTTCCTTCCCTCAATCCTGCTTCTCAAGATATCATTCTGGCTTCCAGAGAAAATCACGGATGTTTGAATTAGGTTTGTTTGAAATCTTATTCTCAGGATCATCGCTCTACTCGGTCCGTCCGAATTCGCATCACAGCACCAGTTTGAATAACGGAACCCCGTGACCTCACACTCATCATTTCCTAACGAGCTATTCAGATTACGATTCCATTGGAGATTTTTTATCGCCTTATGTTAAAGATAGCCAAAAATATACAGCTAAATTGGGAAAGGTTGTTTCACATTCCGCGGAATTAGGGAATCGTGAAAGATGGAATTACGATATCGCAACCTTGTGCAAAGCCCATCCTCTTGGAGCATCGTTTCGGTTCAATATCGACCGACTAACATTCTCAAAATCCCTAACTAAATCACGGTAACGGTTCGATCCACGTGCGTGGTTTCCATTTTTCTTTCTTATGAGTACGTTCTTGTCGCTCCTTATGAATATTTTATTAGATCTTGAAACGAACCGTTGGTAGATCGCTGCGACAATCGATAACCATGGTACTACTTTCTCAGTTTCAAAAGTGTTATTCACTGAAGAATGAGACTACCGTCACCCCTGTACCATTAGAATTTTCAAATATTCTTTTGACCAAATTTTTGTTTGTCAGATTGAAACCTTATGTTGCAATTGTGATAAGTTCAGTGGCCTCAGTGGAATTGAAACCCACGTATGGACAACGCCTCCGAGCTGATCTACGAGGCCAGACCGATAGCACTGATTTTTTCACATTCGAATCACTCATCCTGATCAGCTGTCCGATTGCCAAGTGGATAGCGTGTCTGCGTTCTACCTGTGAAGTCCCAGGTTTGATCCCCAGTTGGGTCGATATGTTCACATTGAGGATAAGACCCAACCAGGTCTGAAAGTCTGTCCAGTGCTTCCTAGTTTTTCCGTTCACACGTCATTCGCAGTGTTCACGACGAAGTTCACCATGTAATCAAATCAAATCCTTCATGCAACAAAATTTTGTTTTCCAACCTCAGTGAAAAGCTCCAAAATGTCCGTCCCAAATTTTCTCGTTTTGCAACAGACAAGGAAATTAGGAAAACACGGACAATCGTTTTAAGGCTGCGCCTCTGCAATTTAAAATCAGCCTTTAGAAGAACAAGGAAAGTCGCAGAAGTAACGGTGAGAGCAAAGTTCCTTAAGAAAACATTTTAGTGCCTGCATATATTTATGTTTATAATCGGCTTGCAAGCATGCTAGGTGCCAACGCAACAACAAGAATAACAGCTTGGGGAGTTCCGATACAAAACAGAGTAAAAAAGGGGTCATACAGTCAAGATGGATAGCGAGAACAACATTTATCGTTTGTCTCACTTCACTCTTCTCTTTTTCATTTTCAATTCCTTTTATTGAACACGCAATGATGCAAATAATGTGAAACGATTGTAGCTCGCGATGTGTATGTTGGTGGTGGTGTTTTCTCGGAGCTGTGAGTGTTGTTCGCAGACGTTTCGTAGCCAGGCTAGGCAACATCATCAGTGCACACGCAATAATGCAATTTTCAGGAAAGCCGAACCGGCCAATCAAACGGCTACCATACAACACACAATGCGGAAGTTCGGGCGGTGGTGGTGGGATTCAAGTACACTTCTCCTTAGGTGATAATTCGACGACGGTACCACCGGACCATGACCGTTTTTTTTTAGTTTATTGTTTTTTATGGGACACGAGATTTCAACAGGCAAACCGTACACTATTCGCGCCACTTACTTCTGTTGTGGGCCATATCCCTCAACATCTCTAATCAACGACAGTCCTCATCCCTTGGGCCCCAACCTGCAAGGCGGGCTGCACCAACCGAAGCNCGTGAGCAAGCCATTGGAGACAGTGTAGAGCGATTACTTCTGTTAGAGAACGACCATCCACACCCAATACATGACGACGGACCCCGTCATTGCTCACCTGATATTTCCACCAGACACGTGCAATGCTTCGGATACATCGGTGTTCGAATATAGAAAGTCGATTATCATCCTCAACTCGGAGGGTGCAGGTCTCGCAACCGTAAAGCAAAACGCTATGAACTGCGGCGATGTACACCCTTCCCTTAAGGGGCATTCAAATGTCATAGCGGCGCCACTATTTGACGATGTGAACGGCAATTGATTCCCTCCGACAAGGAGGAGACTTTCCCAGCGTTCCAAACTTTAGAGAACAGAACCTGTAGTTGTCTAACACACTTTTTCCACCATCTTTAGATAGAGCTGAATGAAGGCCATCTCTGCCTCAAAGTGCTCCGCCGAGTGTGCAAGACGTCGCTGTTGATTATAAATGGGCCACAATTCAGCTTCACAGACCATTTCACTCACACACATAACCTTCTTACCGGTGAACCTGATGAGATGGAATAACTTACCGGTGTTTCCCATTTAGGCAGTACGTTTAATCTCTGATGCGTGTTGCGTCCACCAGATTTCGCGGTCTCTGTATAGGCTTTCCTCGAGGTTACGTCTCGTTAAGTGTTGTATTTCATTTTCCTCGCTTCCGGTAGGGACTGATCGTGCGTTGAGATGGCGTAGAGACTCCACAGAAATCCAGTGTCGTGGCACGGCGTGTCAGATCACAACTAACTAAGCCAGCAGAATGCAGAGCGTTCTTGATAAACGACAAGTGCAGGTTAATGTTATCGCGTTGTTATTGGCTTTACCTTTTCACCTGGCACGTTTTGGAAGACAGAACAATTTGTTTGAACAGTTTCACAGTCGTACGTTTAGAACTCCCACCGAAACGTATGAACAGCTTGGTGCAAGCTAATGCGTGGTCGGATTCGAGGGGCGTGCTCCAGTTCAATCGGCAATCTTGTATACAGCTCCGCTATTTCAGGCTGATAGAAATGTGGTCGATTTGCCTTCAGTGCCGGCTCGGGGAAGTCAGACGCCAACTGGCGTACCGGCAGTTTTACCGACTGGAGTTCGCACTGGCGTGTAATAGGCGATAATAAGAACATAGGGCCTACAGCTGTACCCCGTTTTCCAAGCAACAGAAATCTGGTCCAAAAGGACCTCCCAGATGCGCCTCGCTCGAGTTCAGCCAGCCCACTCCAGCATTCATATCTCCTGCTGAAATCACGATATCACCCTGATCCGCTTTACACAGGAGGTCGTGTATATTATGGTAAAATTCATTTTTGATTGCTTCTGGGCTATTGTCTGTTGGGACGTAAACCGATACGGCAAGTAAGTATCATCTTTTGGGGCGATGTCTCCTTACTTGTCGACTGGGATCCAACCTAGGAGCGCGGCTTCAGCTCTCTCACTGAGAGCTACGCCAACCCCAGCAAGACCGGAAGCCGAAACCTCAGGGTTCCCAGAGAGACATAAGTGAAACTTCGCAGACGGGTTTGATGGGGACGTCAATGGGATAATTCAGCTGGAGTCTTGTCTGATGGTTTCTCTGATACAACACATTCATCGCTAGGGTCTCGAGCGTACAAGCTAAACACTTCTGTTGTCCTTCACGAATCAGGATGCGCATATTAAGTGTGGCTAGTTTGAATGGACGTTGAGGACGAAGAAGGGTTCTAGCTGGTGGAGGGTTCGGTGAGGGTTGGTCAGTAGTTAAGTTCAGGCACGAGAGAACGGCAACAGCGTTTCCATTTAAGGCACTATTGTTTGCACGATGATCTGAAGCACCTGAGAGTGGTGCTGTGTTAAGGAGGTAAAGGTGAAATGGAGGAAGGTTGGGCAAACATAAGGGTGTGTATGGTGTAGAATGTTTTTCGTTGAGGGGGGAAAAACTTTAGACGGGGGAGACGTAGGGTTCGAGAAATTCATCATAGTGTTATGGGCCGTTGTACTATTCGTTCGTCCAGTCCAGGGTACGCCTTGTTCGAGGATGCACTCTAGCCTTTGCGCAATCAACCGCAAACTGCAAGGCAGCAATGATGTTCCAGATGAGCAGGTTGCCAGTATTTGGTTCATTCTCCTTTCTGGAAAACCTTGTGGAATGATGTATTTCGGCAAGGGGCAATGGCTATATCAAGTAGCGAATCACGCTCGCCACGTCCCAGCGCTGTCCACAGATGTGTAGTGTTTTGTGCGGACAACCCTTTGCAGGAGGTTGGCCCACCACATCCTAGAGCGCTCCCCACTGATGTCCACGACCGCTTATCCGGGGGGTTTAGATCCACCTTATTCACAGTTAGTCCGAGGATGATGGCCGTTCCCCTATCCGCCACCTGGGGATCCGCTCCGTAGCATACAGCTCTGCTCTTCCGCGCGAGACTAACAATAAAGACCAACAGAAAAGTATTCTTTCGTTTTTAGCTCACCAATGCTCCCACGGACTTTGTGGAGCAGTGTCGACGTTTCTTTGGACGTACAGCATTCGCTTAAGGTGGTGGGCAACCTATAGACCGATATGCTTCAACGGCGACCTAACTGGAAGGAAGCCAGTTTTATTCTTATGCTTGTGTTATTTGCGTTCGACAGACAATGGGAGCAAAAGAGCAATGATGCGAAGCTTAAAGATAATTCTAAACCGGTTAATTCTTCTATGGTCTTCATAAAAAAACCTGTCCTCTATCATATACATACACGTACATATATCTATCCTATGCACCATCGTGAACCTAGAACTGAAGGTGAGCCATTGTCCTTAAGAGTGAACGATGGCAACTCGTTCACTTCGGATGCCGCATACGTTTTGAGGTAACTCACCTACCGGATAATACCTATTTCAGGCGAAGACTTTTCGCCAACTGATAGTGATAATAGTTCACTTGGAATTAGTGCTGATATCTTCTTTAAGAGTGTCTCGTACTGGAATTGAAATACAGAAGATTGTTATCTTCTATACCCTGGTTATTCATTATGATACAGTTCGCGATAATCACTTTTTTAATCTCGTCAATTGGAATTTGCATTCTTTCTTTGCTATGCTATAAAAAGTTATTGAGGTAATTGTGCGTAGCATACTTCACGCGGTAGATTGGTCGTCCCTGCACCTGATTTACCATCCATGTTGATTCACATATCTTTCTTCAAACAGCAAATAATCTTGTAACGATTTAGACGATTTTCCTTGTCTATAAAGGTTTATTTGCCAAACTCAATCAATGTGTTGCTCATCTCTAAAAAATTTTAGCGGTTCTGTTAGCAACCTATTGTGCCCTGGTTCGGATTCCAACGACTTAGCTGGAGATGATTTGCTGATGATCCCTAGCGCAAAGGTGAAATAGCGTTTCCAATCCTTTTCAGATTTTGGTGACTCATTGGCTCAGCTTGACGACACGCTTCCATAAAGAACCATTATTGGTTTATCTCTGATAAATTATGCGAACTGTTCTCGGTTAACATATAGAGTATGCTTCATAAAAGAAATTTCTGGAATCAGTGCTGAACTTTTCGTGATGAAAGAAATTCTACATTGATCATAGTGCGAATATCCGAGGTTTCTTTGTGACTACGATATTACACTAAAACTGGTCAGTTAACATTTGTATTAGTGAATGTTCACTTCAGTCATTTTTTCTTTCGAGCGATGATGTTTTTAATTAATTGATTTGGTTTCAGTTATCTACTTTGCACTTTACCAGCGTCCAGTTCTCATTCAAATCATCACGACAACGAATTTACCCCTCCCAGATTGATAGATTTTCGGCGAAATAATGTTTTACATATTAAGAAAACTTTGTTTTTTGTTGATAGTCACGCAAACAATTCACTAACGATGGAAGCTCACAAATGACTTTTCTGTTCTATTTGACGGTTTCTTAATAACTGGTACCCGCCAATTGTTGCCTCCTGTCGTCCAAACCATTTTCACTGCTTCCTCTAGTCTCACTGATTGAACAAGTTCACTGCATGTTGTTTTTAGCACAATAGTTTATTTGATTGTTTGGTTCATGTTCAAACAGGCAACGCGTCCCGGATGCTTCCGGAATATAAGACATGTAGCTGGCCAGATATTTTGTCTGTCGCTTTCCGGGACAGATAACAACCCACGCTTTGTGGTTGTCACTGTTAGTGATTCACTCCGTCTGACCCAATTTCTCCATTCTTGTAGTTAAATGAAGCCATCTGTGAGAACTCCGTTAATCTATTGGACTTGTTTCGTTCAACACGATCAAATTACAATTCCTATCATTATTATAATTAATATTATAATTTCTCTTTCAGGCCCCCTTCGTTTTCGTGGTTAACAGATCTTGAACTTGTACCTGTTCGTGTGGATGAGTTATCATCAGCTTTGAACCAATCATCCCAGGGCGATTCTGTAGTGCGTGACTGGAAACTGTATCGATTGCTTGTCCGTTGTGCTTTACCTTGTTTGCCGGCACAACGAATGCTGTGGCAACTGCGAGCCGAGGCACGCTTGTGTCCCTCTTCGAGCCCACATTCCCGGTTTCGCTTGTTAGACCAGATTGAGATTGGTCTCACTCAGCGATTCAGCGCCGTGCGTCAACCAGACTGGCGATTCCATGCCGTTGAAGACAATCGCTGGTTCTGGACCAGTGCTCTATTACGCATCAGTTTGATCTGGCAATTATTTCCGGTTGAGCTGCAACGCGTGGTTGAAGTGAGTTCCACAGATCCACTATGAAATTGCTAATTTTACTTCGTTATGCTCCAAAATCCTGTCAGTCAAAAAGATCATGATTTCCCCTTTTATATTCCTACCGGTAATTTTTATTGCTAACATCTGAATTGATTGTTTCCTCATTGGGTGTTTCTCTCAGGGCCTTTTACTTTTTGTTTTCACCTGGAAAATATGCATACTGTTGCAAAACATTTTCACATCTGAAAAGCTAAATTGCTTCTTTGGAATATTTTCATCCATCTCCAACTTTGGGAGGTTTCTTCTTCTAGACCTCCGCATTGAAGTTTTCGTAGCACCTTCCAGACATTCTGGAAGGTGCTACGAAAAAACTTTGTTTGAAAAAGCCGTAGCAGTCGCTACAAGCTCCAAATACATCCCTAAGTTATTCCTAGCTATCTAATAACTGACTACTTTTCTGACCCAAAGGCTTCAGGAGAGTAACGGGTGTTTATTTGGTTGGTCACTTTTTTCCTCTGATTGGGTCGGCTTTTTGTCCCGCTTCTTCCGCACTCTCCAGTTCACGATACCTCAGTTTGCTCTGTTGCCCGCGCGATGGTTCATTGCTCGTGGTTTAACGGGCACGCACACTCTCTTCCGACTGTATAACCACCACATCAGACAGTTTTTGCGACGTGACCTACCTGTCGGTCACCAGCTTGGACGCGCGTGATTTCATCGCTGTACGTGTGCATGTGCGTTTGTTGTGATGTGATGTTTGCATTCGATCATTTATGCGACTAAACAAACACTGTTCGCACCTGATACTAAGCCGTGGTCCGCATCAACAACGATCGACATTGAGGTCGCTGACCGTCCGTGGTCATTCGTGTTCACCATCACCGTCTCAGCTGCCGTGAACTGATCGTACGTGTACGGCCACTAGTTTCTGGTTTACCACGCTAACTGATGGTCAAGAAGTTATCCAGCTTGTTGGTGGTAAAACGCGGAATTGATCATAACTGATGTTTGTGGCCAATCGTACCACTGTTCTGACCGGAACGTGTACGGGATCGCTCCTGTGCAACAGGTGAGGACACCCCTGAGTGGCCAGTGATTTCCAGACTGGGATTTTGACCTCGACCTGGAAACATTGAACATGTTTTGTACGTGCGCTAGAGGGGATCAAAAAAATCTTTAAACAGATTTCTTCGTTTTTACAAATAACTTTGAAAATTAGTTTGAAGTGATACTCACTACTTCTGTCTTATCCTATGATTGAGTCATTCCCATATTGTTATCATCGGCAATATGGCATATTGCGTATCCTTTTCCTCATTCATAGCTTGTAAAACATTTGTTTTCCAAGAATGATATCAACTGACCTAGGTTGACGCAATATAGTCGTAAGATACTTGCCACTCGATCCAATCCATGTCATTTTTTCACGCTTGTTATGACAACCGTTGATTTGCACACAGATACACTCTTCTGAAGTTGTATTGCTAGCTGTGTTAAACGTGCTCAGAAACGTGTATAGTTTTGATGCTAACACAGTGGCATTGGACGGCTTTAAAAAAACGAGAAGCAGCAAGTTTTGAAAATTATATCTGCCTTTCTCTCCCTCTACCACTCTACCCTGTTTATTTCTAATAGGGTTTGTCTGCTCTCTTAGCTGGCTGTACTGCTGTCTTAGTCAACACCAAACTTCCAGTTATTCTCCAATTGGCTATTCTGTTCGCACAACGCATCCTGGTTGATTGGACTGTGGATACGTTTGATTTACGCTGCCTGGATGCGGTAAGTCTGTTCTCGCGTAATATTCTTTTGACGTTTCTTGCTATGCCTACTGTCCACATGCGCTTTCATCTTCAATGTTTCAAGTGGATTGGTCTGTGCAAATAAAGAATGTCCTCCGTGAGAGAATTTTCTGAATTTCATGATCATCCTGTTTTAAATAGCATCACTTACTATCTCCGTCCATCGCGTATTTAAATTTCACAATTTTTGTTTTCATAATACAGACGTTGCAGTAAGAATGTCAGAAACTGACAGTCATTCTAACTAATCATGCACAAGACACGCTTTGTTAGGTAACAGAAAATAGGCTAAATTTAGTGTGGGAACTTTGGCTGTCTTATTGGAGTATTGACCGTACAGTGCGCCTTCTCACTGCTTCCGTCACGGTTTCTCTCGATCGATGTGAGTTATTGTGTTCCGTTCGCATCAGGTTTTGGGATTTACTCCAAAATCATTGCTGGTTTGTTCTGTGCACTGCTGTCACCTCACTGTTGGTATTCGTTCTGTTCATTTATTTCTTTGAATGATACAATTGGAGAAGACTTATGTTAACTTTTCTCAAACTATTTCACTCTCATGCGTTGCTCAGAATAAACGATGCCCATGAAGAAAGCGTTATCATCTGAACATATTTTCAGAAATGGTAGTTTCCCGCACACTATCAATCCAATGATCCGTGAGTAAATAATTCCGTAACTGATCAAGTCCCACTAGCGGCATAGTCATTCTTTTGTCACAATCCATCCGTTTCGTATTCACTTTATTTTTTAACAAAATAGATTTGCCCCCTAAAACTTTTCCCATGCTCCCCACACCCCACGTTATATTCAGCTGTCACTCGCATCAGATTGTCATAAGTAATGCGTTTTCTAACGTCATGCTTACTCTCACTTTCACCTGCTGGACGAGATTCGCATGTCATCGGAGTACATTTGTAACCCGAACAGACTAAATATCCCGGGTATCTCATAGAGAATCATCTCTCTATTGAACTCTGTACCGAATTATAAAATCACGCCTAATTGCACTTCCAATCGGGCGCAATGATGTCTATCGTTTTGTTCACTCAGCCAATGTGTCGTAGACGTTTTTCTACCCTTCGTACCGTTGATGCGTCATACTGGTCGCACAGAGGGTGTGCGTCGATTTTGTCCACATCCGGCGACCTTCATGAATTTAGCCTCACAAACGCATAGACGACACAGTTGTGACTAATCACCTAGGCCTTATACACGAAATGGTGCCTACTTGTGCTCCAATCCAACTGACGGTATCGGGCTTTGTTTTGCCTCTTTCACTCCCTTCTAAATAATGGTACCCATGAGGGAATTAAGTTGTCTGTCTGCATGCTCCCTAGCTGATAGCGAGGTAGAGAGCACATGAAACACTGTCCGTTTGGCAACGACACACTTGTAGCCTATTCAACTTGCTATCGACTACTCGGTTGCTTATTGATCTCCTTATGGTCGTGAGTCACTTCCGACGACGAGAGTGGAAGACAGTAGTGATTTGTTTACCCTACACTGCGCGATTGTCAGCTTTTTGGTTGCAAAGTAACCACAAAAATATCGATCACTTGAGGGTGATCGTCGCGCATGGGCTTTTATCTGCCAATAATATTGAATCCAAGACAGCTCAGCTGTGCTTCTTTGGAGGTCAGCATCTCATTAAAAATCAAGTCCTTTTATTATTCTTTCAAATGAACAGGTATTTTTTGGTTTGGAGCTGATTCTCAATTTTAACTACTTAACACAGCTAACCAATCGGTGCACGTGTTGTCCGGTACAATTGCAAAGTTAGGTATCCTTTAGCAGTGATCCCACATTGGAGCACAATTACTCTAGCGTTTTTGTGTGTCGGTGGAAAATCCTTCATCCTTTTTTGTTCATTGATAATTTAATTCGGTAACGAACACAATATACCCAAATTTGCTTCACTAATATCCGTTTTCGCTTGGCTTATTTTTGATCGCCAATCGTTGTCACCTGCTACACTGTTTGTGCGCGTTTACGGTGATTTCGCGCGTCCCCGTGTGTCCCATTCTTGCATGTTTTGTTTTCGATCTTTCCGAAATCTGTTTCATCTGATAGCTGATCGATTGGAATCTGTCTGGATTAGCGTTTCCCGCTCCAGGTCTCCACCCACCGATTAATGGCGGACCTCCAGCTTACTCCAATCCTTCAACATCTGTGGATGGTAATGGTAGCCACATGGGCAGTCAGCGCAAATCGACCACCCGTACGGGTAGTTCGTTCTTGGTCGCATTTGTCCACCTGGTCTCTGAAGTAGCTCCAAGTCTAATGGACTGGTCGACTGAGTTGGCTCATATTGAACCAGCCTTACGAGGTAAGAACCATTTCATTTCATCAACTGGGACATCATTCTTTTTTGATTCAATAATGAATGGTATCTTCAACATTTGAATCTTGATTTCGGAAGCCTTCGTACCGATCAAGTTTAGTTACAAACAGGTGTTACTTCGTTATCGCTTCCAACCGAAAACATATTTTATTATTTTTGAGACTTTCAAAGTCAAAGTTTTGTCATAGGAAATGCTTAAAAGCTGTTGATTTTCTTGTCACATGGAGTTTTGGGCGCAGATTAATCAAGTCACGAAGCGACTTTAATTTGCCCCATAGGGATGAACATTCAGCTGCTAAACAATCACTCGTTTGTGGAAATGGCATGGGAAAAACAAAAAAACATGGTGATACGCTGCACATTCAATCAAATTAGGTAAATTCAGCTAAGTTTGTGTTTAAGGATCTCCGTAACAAGATCGGTGTTAGTAAGAAACCGTGCCAATTACGGTATTACAGAATACTTGCAAGTTGTGGTGCGTGCTACTATATATTTATACTGTGAGTGAGTGCTAGATGTAGAGATACATTTACTAAGATGAGATGACAGGGTGAGATGGGTCTAGTAGTATTCTGGTAGAAAGTTTCTGGCAAGCCTTAAAGTACTGTAAAGTTAAAAACTGCACATGTTCGCGAGGTATAGCACTGCATCGACGTATGTGTTTGACGGATGTACGTATAAGTTTGAAGTCTTTGATTAGAAGGGACGAAAAAGTGGGACGCATAAAGCTAGTGGGGAAGGATACAAGAGAAGACAAAAAAAATTATTTAATGATTTGGGGTAGATAACATTTTCCAAAAATAATGAAAAACGTAAGTTTCCTGACTGTGAAATGTCTCGACGATATGAGGGGATCAAGAGAGATTATGGAAATTGGTGAAACCGAGGTATTTGACGGAGCACGCTCTTGAAATTTTTTCTCCATTGGTATTAACATGCTGGCAAGAGTTCGTCACATCGATGTATTGGTCGCCCTTCAGCAAAGAAAACAAGCCATCTTTGCACTTGGAAAGGATTCATTCTAAGGTTGTATTGTGAAGACCAGTCGATGAACAGTGAAATATTCTGCATCCTCGGCATACTTAATGAGCAAACAATCATCAGAAGCACGCATGGAAGAAATATAGGTTGTGAACAGGAAAGGAGAAAGGATAGAACCTTGAGGAACTCCTTGAGTGGAGGGTAAAAGTGAAGAGTTGTGACCCNTAGTAAACTGTAATCGATGGGTGAAATAATTGCTTAACAGATGAGCAATCTCCGGCTGAATATCCTTCTCAGAGAGAGTGTGAAGAAGTTTGGACCTATCCACACAATTAAAGGCTTCACCGTAACCAAAGAAACAGCCGAACAGCTTTATATTTTCTGTCCAGGGAAGAAGAAACATTATGAATGAGGAATGCATCGATGGTCGAGCTGGAACTGCAATAGGCAAATTGAGTGGGATCATGTGCATTCAGCTGGGGCAACATCTTCTGTGGTAAAATCTTTTCTAGATCTTTCAAACCAACAGACGGGCAAGCAATCGGGCGAAATTCAAACTTTCCTTTCTGAGGGGTTGGCGCGATAGAATCCACTCTCCAGCAGTCCGGAATGCTACGCTGAGTAAAGCATAGGTTGATCAGTTCGGTGAAAACAGGAGAAAGGGAAACTGCATGTTCTGTGAGCACCACAGGGGGCAGTCCATCAGAATCACGTGCTTTATTAGACTGCAGAGTGATTAAAGTTTTGAATACTTCTATGTGATCCTTAATTTATTTAAAAACATTAAGAGGGGGGACTACTGCTGTGAATGGAACAGGGGCGTCGGTTTCAACATTACTGAATTGGCGAGATTGTCCGCATTGGCAGCTGGCAGATTCTCATTCGTTTTGAGACCACAAAACTGAAACAACTTTTTCCATGTATCACGGCAATTCCTGTTGGCCAGCA